GTTCTGGCTCTTATCCAACTCATAGTTGTCGCATAATCTTCTCCTTTCGTTATGGCTACCAACTCTGCCAATCGACTATGGTATCTCACACATTCTTTGCCCATACCGCCTGTGGTGGTGAATACGAGTGGCGTAAATGTTCCTTGCTCTATTTCGAGGACTCTGCTTGCATATAGGCGCTTCTTCTCGTTTTCGTGTATCTTGTAGACTTGGCGTAGCTCCAGGTCCTTGTATGAATCAGCATTGGGATGATAAACCCTTACATCGAAAAAGGCTGTTGGAGCCTCCATTTAGTTGCTCTCCCGAGATGTCTTGTAGGACAGGCTCAACTTGGTCTTCTCTACAGACAATGTTACTACAGACAATAATAATAATAATAATAATAATTTTTATTTATTTATTTTTTTATTTTTTTTTTAATAATAATAATAATAATAATTTATTTATAAAATAATCCTACTACATTAATAACTAATTACTAGTATATACAAGGAAGTGAGTCTAAATTGTTGTAGTATGTTATAGTATATGTTATAGTAAGAATTTATGGTAAAAGTCTAAGCACAGGGGGCCCCACTATGAGTTATGATTGAAATAATATTGTATTTATTTTTAAAAACCTACTTGAATCCCTTGATAATCGATTATTTCTTCTCTCGAAGTTCTGTAAACATTTCGAACTGCTTGGAGTCATTATACTATCACTCTACATGACGTTTCACGAAGTATAGATGATCGCTGACAAGTAAGAACGCGGGCGCGAAAAGACGAAGGCGGCGAAAGAAGGTAGAATTAAACTAAAGGGTTGAAACTTCGACTAGATGACATTTCTAAATGCCTTAAAATTCACAATTTATTTGTGTTTTCGAATATTTTTTTCAGATTCTATGTCTTTTTGGATATATCTTCACAACTGATGTAGTAGATTCAATAAACGATTGTTTTTTCGTATGTTTTTACATGAAACACTCGAAGGGTTTTTTCGCACAATCTGTTCCATAAGTAGGTTGTTCTCGTGACGTCAAGTATAATGAGTCCGAGCCATTTAAAAGGTTTACAGAACTTCGAGAGAAGAAATAATGGATGATCAAGGGATTCAAGTACGTTTTTAAAAATAAATACAATATTTTTTCAATCCTAACTCACATTGGGGAACACATCAAACGATGACCGGCCGAAGTTTCAACCCTTTAGTTTAATTCTACCGTTTTTCGCCGCCTTCGTCTTTTCGCGCCCGCGTTCTTACTTGTCAGCGATCATCTATACTTCGTGAAACGTCATGTAGAGTGATAGTATAATGACTCCAAGCAGTTCGAAATGTTTACAGAAATTCGAGAGAAGAAATAATCGATTATCAAGGGATTCAAGTAGGTTTTTAAAAATAAATACAATCTTATTTCAATCATAACTCATAGTGGGGCCCCCTGTGGTCTAAGCCTAAATTTTGGCATGAGAATTGTCTACTTCGAAGTCCGTTTCTTGAACGTTCGTTGTTATCCTCCTGGGTGCTCTAGTCCCTCTGAGACAAAGTAGAGCTGACCGCAAGATGGCAAAGGAGACCTTGGCTCGTATCCAGGACATGGTCGTAGAGTAGTCTTCGCCTTTCTTCGCTGCTATGAGCTCGGCCAATCTGCTATGATACCTCTTGCACTCTTCACTCATGCCTCCAGTCGTTGTAAATACTAATGGTGTAAACGTTCCGTGTTATATCTCCATCACTCTTTGGGCATACATCCTCTTCTTCTCATTTTCATGTTGCCTGTATATCTGTTGAGGGCTCAGGTCTTTGTAGGATTCCGCGTTGGGGTGACAAACCCTAACGTCAAAGAACGCGGACCTTTGTTTCTCCCAAAACCCTCGAGCGTGGATATCTAGGCGAGCGTCGGATGCTGTATTTGCTCCACTTGGTAAAACCTCGCCAGTTAACTCTTGAAGAACGGGTTCAACCTCGACATCATTGCAGACGATGTTAAGCATATCAGCCTCAAGATCTCACAGCTCGTTGCGGCGCTGTATGATGAACCCACCTCGCTTGCAGATCATTGCGTGATCAGTATTGAAAATATCACCACACACGCATACTAATGGCTTATCAGCAATTTTCCACTCATATCTCAGCTTTACTGCGTCTCGAAACTCACCTTTGTTCAGATTGTAGTCCATTTCCTTAATGGGGATAACTGTTAGCCAGTTGGATGCACCTTTTTCAGTTGCTAGTTCCATAGCACGCCGTGTTTTCGGGGGTAGAGAGTTCTTAATACCATCCCATTTAGCCTGAAGTACTTCGCTCTTTTCATTTCGCGCATTCTGCTGCAGTGTGTAAATAACAGAGTCATCTGGAATTTCGTAGGCTTGTGCGATAATTTTCTCTACCAGTGGCGCTGTGATCTTTATCGACGTTTCGTACTGCAGTGCTGCATCCTGTCTAGGATTTATAAGGCCAAGACCGCCCATTCGTACTGGGAGTGCCAGAAGATCCCTTTCACTCTTTGTACAGTGATGATCCGTAATTGATGGTATCAGGACATCAGCAATAGCACGCTCCAAGGGCTCCAGTAAATCTTCTATATCTGGAAGTGTTCTAAGAAATTACGTCCATCGATGGCGGAGGCCAAAGGTGAAGGCGGCATAGCCGGCTTGTGGGTGCGACGCTGCGAATTCAGCTAGCTTGACGATTTGGCTAACCCAGTCCTCTACCTTGCCGTTGACGTATTCTTCCAGGAAAGCCATAGAACCCAAGGCTGCGCCCAAATGCTTTTGCCCCTGCGCAGAGATATTGATCGCTGTCCCATCAAAAATAGCCTGCGAGCAGGCTCTCTGGGTGAAAGAGAGCCTGCAAGGATCCCTTTGATGTTCGTGTGCATGCGTCCAATATGCGTCCAATATTTGGACGCAGAGCTCTGATTGGTTGATCATGAAAAATTACGTAATTGATATATCAATCAAATATATAGTAAACCAAGATGGCGGAAAGTAGAAATTCAAATGAATTGATCGAAGAAGCTTGTAGGAAATTGTCAGAGAAACTAAACTTCCCGTTCAAATTAAAAACCGAGCAACGCAATGCATTGGAGTCACTGCTTAACGGGAATGATGTTCTTGCTGTTTTACCAACGGGATACGGCAAGAGTCTGATATTTCAGTTGTATATTTTGGTTGCCCAAATTGAAACGATCAAAAGAACTGCTTTAGTTGTTTGCCCTTTACGAAGCATCATTGGCGATCAAATTGGCGAGGCAAGAGGTTTTGGTATTTCCGTTGCATCGCTAGCTGATCTGTCCGAAGACGAGTTAAAAGCAAGTGAATTCGAACTTTTATTTGGTTCAGCTGAGACAGTTTTGGATAAACGATTCCTGGATATTTTAAAGGACCCCGACGCATCGTTAAACCGCGTTTTGTCTGTAATTGTCATTGACGAATCTCACACGGTGGAAATGTGGACAGGACAAAGGTGTCGTTCTCGTATTATGATACGTAATATAATCAGTTTAATTAATACCTAAAAAAAATAAAAAATTGACAACCTTTGCTTATGTTATGTATTAATGTAAATAATTATAGATTTGTGTTATTATATTTGTGATTTTATGTATTTATAGGTCAAGAGGAAAAAATCTCAGCACCTCCGGTGGTGGCTTTCGTGAAGCATTTGGGAAGTTGTCTACCTTACGGTCGTTTTGTAAGCAAGGTGAGATCCGATATATTACATTGTATATATTATACTGTGTATAAAATATACATGATGTTTATACTAGGAGTGTGTCAACACCGGGCAAGCTGAAATGTTTGCT